GCTGCTGCCGCCGCTGCTGCTGCTGCCGCTGCTGCTGCTGCTGCTGCTGCTGCTGCTGCTGCTGCCGCTGCTGCTGCTGCTGCTGCTGCTGCTGCTGCTGCTGCCGCCGCTGCTGCTGCTGCTGCCGCTGCTTGGTCTGTCCGCTGGTGCGGCTGCGATGGCGATGTTGTGCCTTTTTTGTGCTCTTTTTGGACAATCTTTAGCTGCGTTGGCTCGTGCGAGATTGGCCGTTCTTTGTGTGTGGAGTTGAGAGGGTGAGGCGCAGCCTGTGGCGACGCGACGGGTGTGGTAGATGTGGAGAAGTTAATGTCTTGACGTCAGCTGTGTCCGATGTGTTGTGATTTGTGTTGTGGGTTACTGGAAGATGCGTACAAGCAGGGTTCGGTCTGCTCATATTATATATGCAAGAATATGTCAATAAAAAAGCTGGAATTCTTCAGTTATGAAGACATTTTAGAGGTGATTTGATTAAATATACAAATCAAATAGAAAACTATTCTAGCTCGAAGCATAACCTACCCATCTGAATTCTTGGGTGACATGTCTAGACAAATTGTGTTCACTGTGGATAAGATATGAAAGGCCTCTTTGGATTGGCATGCAATCGTGCACTGTTCAAACTTCTCTTGCCAACTTTACCTACCTTCGCTTGCCAAATATTCGGGACATATAAGAGGTGATCATCAACGACAGCTCATGGTTGATGTAGGAACTTAAGTATTCGGGCTGCTGCTAAAGGGTGCGGACAGAATCTGCATACAAAATAGATAAACGATAGGTATACCTATACGTTTGCTTTTGAAATTCCAAAACCAGCGTCAGAAATAATTCAATACCTAAATCAATTCGAAATGCTGTGCTTTAAAGGTAGTGTGCCAGCTTTCCTGGACCGTATGGAGTTAATGGCCCAGATAAGGAGAACCGGATTTTTAGAACTTATCCATACCTTCAAAACTCATGGAAACGTCTTAAATTCTTCAAATTTTGAGTACCCCAGTGCGAAATTCGCCCCGACAGGTTGTCGGTCGTACCCCAACCACATTTCACACCACTATGAACAATAAATGCACACACTGAAATCGCTATAACCGATATGCTCATCCAATCAAGTTTCGATAAACCCGTTCATCATCATCTCCTGCGGTTTCGAACACGCCTGTTAGGTGGTGCGGTAGACCGCGCCCAAAGCCAGGGCCCCGGTAACGTGAGGTAGCCGAGTCGGGGCAGCGTGCGCTGACCCAAGCCGGGGCCGCGCGTCCTCCCGGTGTCATGTGATAGCCCGGGGCTGCCCGCGGGGATGCGGTAGACCGCGCCCAAAGCTGCGGCCCCGGCTTGGGTCAGCGCACGCTGCCCCGACTCGGCTACCTCACGTTACCGGGGCCCTGGCTTTGGGCGCGGCTTCTGCTCATACTTTGTGGTGCGGTGGTGGTGCGTCGGGCCGCGCGCTCTGACTTCGGCCAAGAAAAATGCGTCAGCTGATCATTGTCATTTCTGCCACTTGCGTGTGGTGAAATGGGGTCATAACTTAAGAGACGGCTTTTTCATATCAATTATTTTACATAAAATCATATTTCAAACCATAAATAATGTTCGACAGCCAAATAAAAGAAACAATACCAATACAGGCTTACAGTTTAAGGCTCGACATTGTGTTGTCTACGATTAGACAGCTGATAACTCATTCCCGTACGTCGTAACTCTATAATGACCTTTGCTTATTGTCACATGTGCGCCGCATTCGCGATTGTTGCGGACGCCTGTTTGCAGGTCAGCCCACTACAGTTGTTATACATATCGAAAAACCGATTAACTTTTAGGCGAAAAAGGCACTATTCCAGGCCCATTTTTGATTTTCTTTGCGATATTAGGTAAAAACAGAAGCTTCTTATCCTAGGAAAAATAAAATGGGAAATCTTTCAAAGGTGGCACACTACCTTTAAGCTGCCTCGCTTCATTATCCCAGCCCAAATAAGTCTCTTTGTATGTTTTGATTTAGGACGAAGATTGCAAATCTAACTGAGAAAATACGTGTCAGGATCACATTTTACCAGCGATATAAGTCCTATTTTAGTGTCACATCCTGAACCACATCCTTATTCGTAAGTATCAAAGTGCATATTTTTAACATTGTTTGAAGTTTAGGGTTAATATATATTTCATTTTTTCAGGAAATCGATTCTATAGAATTTCATATTGTGTTAAAAATGCTCAGCTTAGTTGGAAATTGGAATTTGTGAAAGGCGCCTTTTTGATACGTGCGTACAAATTCGTAGAAAAGACAAGGCTACACCATAAACCTTACCGTTTTATTAGGATAATGACAAATTATTCAATTGACAGAAATTGAAAACTGAAAAGCCTTAGAGCGGCTAGCTAAGACAGATCGTGTATCCATGCTTAAAGCTGCCCCGCTAAACCATAGATTCTGAAGAGCTGTCAAAGTCTCCGCAAAGAATAACTGCCTCAACCAAACGGAACACTGGCCAATTTCTGAAGAAACCTTCAGATGGCATTTTTCGACGGAATCTGTTAATCTGCGGCCGAGTCGAACGGTTCGTACCAGGCTGCGGACCGGATCGGCTCCCCTCCTCCCTATCTGATGGACGCGCTGCCGCGGGCCCGATTGACTTGAGCGATGAGCTGACGTCACCACCCAGTGCGCGCTGCCGTTGTCATGGCGACCGGTGGCTGCGTGCCGGTCTGTGGAGGCGCGGCCGCGGAGGGGGGCGGTCATGGGCGGGGGCCGCGGGAGTCTGCAGGGATCATCTCCCTCCGTCCGTGGGCCGGTCGCCGGTCTGTGCAGCGGCGGATTGTCGTCCTTGGCATCTCGGCGCTCCATACAGGGACCGGGCGGCGGCGGCGGCACCGCTCCGAGACGGCGGCATCGGGAACGACAGATGACAGGGGCCCCGAAGCCACTCCTGTCGGGAGCGACAGCGGCAGGGGTCCGACAGGGGTGCGTCAGGGGTCCGGCAGGGTCTGGCAGGGGTCTGTCCGACGGGGGGGGGGGGCTGAAGCCAGCAGGGTTCTGGCAAAAGGACGACAGGGCATCTTAAACTATAAGGACAAAAATCGCAGCTGCAGTATTTGCAAACAATGTGTAACCTATAGTTTTCAGGGGTATACCGACGTCAACACAGCAGCAGAGACCAACACTCAAAACCGTCGGGTCTCTGACACTGACATAACGTCACAGATAAAGCCATAGATAGAGGAGTAAACAGCTCGGTATGATAGACACTGGGCCGAATACAAATCTGTCAATCGCTAGACGCAAACACCTATGTGGACAATGGGAAGACAGGACAGTGATGCTGAACACAGGTATATAACCGCCGGACATTCACGGCAAACAATGTGGTGGAGAGACCGTGCTAACGCTGACTTCGAGCTGGGCGGAGAGCCACCTGGATAAAGACAAAAGAAACCTGAAGCGGTTTGGCATGCACTGACCAAACATTACCTTACACCGTCACAGATGGCTTTTGGCTTTGACCTGAGCAATGACCATCTGACGCGAGGCACATCAGCAGTCGCTGGCGTACAGCTACAACAAAAGGACTGAGGACTCTACAAGTGCGTCACTGGCACAAAGCAAAAACAACAGACACCTGCACCAGCAAAACATCGTGCTGCCAAAACAAATTCGCTGTCATGTAGGCACACGCACAGCTTACGTAATATCAGCAGAGGCCGTGCAACAAGCCACTGAGCAAGCACTACCTCGCTGAAACATTGAATGATTACCTGCACGGCAATAGCGACACGGACAAGGTATAGCTTAAACAGAAATAGCCTGTGCGTAATACTTATACCTACGTATAAGCAACAATTCAAAATCACATCTCGAATAAGCATAAGTAGCGTTTACATTACTCATCGTGTATCATACGGTTCTATTTTACTTACAGCCATCCTTAGGGAGTCTTAGGAGCAGGGAAATCGGTTGTGGGGGGCGAAATCTTTTACATGCAGTTTTGTGTTGGTTTACTGCCTACTGGCTGTTTCAGTAGACAACTGGCGTGTGTCGTGTGGTTAGCAAACACGAGCGCCGTCTTTCAAAAGGTGGAGAAAGTAGTGTCACTGTTTTGTGCTGGCCGCTGGTTACAGCGGCTTATAAATGGTGCAACTCCGAACTGAGAAGATAAACGCCTGACGCCCGAATTAAAAAGCTCGTAACATACCCATCCACCGGCCGAACGGCTGACAGAATGTGCTCGGGACCGCGACGGATTATAGATAGGTATCCCCGGCGCCTGCCCTCATTCCGGGCACGATGTCGCCCGCTGCACTTTGGCATGGTGACTGCAGGTGCGCACTGAGCGAGTGACAGGGCGCCACCAGGGACGACCGGCGACCGCGCACAGTGCGTGTGGTGCGTCCCGGATTGAAGCCGAACTCACGCAACAGGCTGCTAAACCCACGTATTCGTCCAGTGCCTGGTGCGGCGAGGCCATATCGTTCCGGCTCTCGGCAGAGATGTAGAGATCCCTGTCTAATGGAGGGCAGATGAGGCGGTTGAGCAGTGGCCACGAGTTTCAACTTCTGTTCAACTGAACAGCCTAGATCATCGATCTGCTCGTAAATCATACCCATTTAACGTCATAGTACATTGATTGTGTTAGAAACCGTATCTTCGAGACGCCATCGTAGCTGCCTACGAGACATGATACCCTCCGTTTTATAACTCTTCACAAAAAGCAGTATTCTCACAACTGTCCGGTCTTTCCAACTTCTGTGTGTCCCCATTTGCATGTCGGTGCGACGGGAATATGGTAATGCTTGGATGAGTTTGTCTGGATGTCTGATATCATTGAAAACCATGCACCCATACTTCTGGTTCAGCGGATTTAACGAAGACATGACATTAAGCACTGGATATCCGTACCCAAATCCATATATGGATTTGGGTACGGATATCCAGTGCTGATAATATAATAGCATATAATCCGGGTGATGCGCTGACTGGTATTTGTATTGTTGCAGAGACCACGCTGAAAATGTCTTCCTACCGTCGGCCGAGGCACCACACCTACGACTACAACTACAAGGTGGGAGAGAGCAGCTACCGCGACATGCTCGACTACCTGGACAAGAAGGAGGGCCGCAGCGCGCCCAGTCCTCCCCCGGGAAAGAAAACATTCGCGGAGCGGTTCGCCGAGCGTCCCTTCTACGGCGAGCCGCGCCCGCTCAAATTGCATCAGAGCGATCTCCTGGCTCCCGAGCGCCGTATCTCTGAGCGTCCGTCCTCTGAGCGGCGGGCCACAGAGCGTCCCTCCACAGACCGATGGGCCAGCGACGGTGCCGACAGGACGGCCGGGCTGTCTCCGCGGCCGGAGCGGAGGCGCGTGCTCGACGACATGCCACTGCTCCCAGAGCGCACCAGCAAACCGGCTGCAAACGAGAAGGACTTGGAGATGGATCCCGAGGAGCTGATCGCCTCGATCCGCCGCGGCCGCGCCAAGCGTATGGAGCTGCTCAGTTCTCTGGAGGCCGAGTCAGCGGCAGAGGGCGCGGAGGAGAGCAGCGCGGCCCGTCGCCGGAGGGCGCCGCGGTTGGACTCCGAGGAGCCCGAGGAGCCCCTCTCCAGCCGGCTGCGGAGCCTGGCGCTCACAGATGATAAGGGTCAGGAGGGCACCGTAGCCTCGCGCGCCGCCGCATCCAGCAGCTCGTCCTACTCGCTGTCCACCAAGCGCAGCGTCTCGTCCAAGATGCAGAGCTCATCCAGCAAAACCACTCGCTCAGTGCACTACGATTAGGAGTTTGTTCTTACGCGTCCCTGAGGCTAGACAGGACAGGAGCGCGGCAAAGGGAGGGACTGGGGACCGTAAACTGGGCTGGCAAAGAAGTCACTCAAAGGTCAAGGAAAGCATCACACAGGGAACGAAATGCATTGGTGTGAGATATTCTTTTCAGAGAGATCTTGTATGTGCAAATGTAGAACCTAGACAATGTGAACATTGTGAAACCTTTTGAAGAAAAATAATGATGGGATTTGGGAACATAATATGAGATGATAAGGGCAACACAGGCTACACTGTAAACTCATTTTGACAAGGGGTTGTCGTACAACGACGAGCGTTTGTCAAAAATACTAATAAAGGTTATGTCGAACGACGAATATCTTGTCATAGTTGGTTGAATCAACAGGGCAAATATTAGTATCAGCCCCAGCACCTAGTCGACCATTCATAAAATTGACGAGGATTATGGAGGCTATTGTGAAAACTACCAGGGTCTTATTCGTAATATGGAACATAGATTTGCTTATGATTTGTAATTTATATCCTTGTCGAAAGAACCAGCTACACCATTGCAACAATAGTGATACATACTTATGTAATCTATGTCCTTGTCAAAGGTATCATCTACACCTTTGCAACACGGACTTAGTTACGCAAGTTAGACGTGTTAGTAGTAACATATACAAAGCTGTTACTTGTTATATAGGTGGCGCCAAAAACGTTTCCGGCCGTTTCATTTTGAAAGTTTCAGTTGCGCACCAACCGCCGTGCAGTGATGTGGCCTCCTGCGCACTTCCGTGAAAATGGTAGGTGATAACAGTGTTCGGTCGTTTTTGTCATTTTTTTAATGAAATGTATGTCTTTCAACTGATAGTAATGCAGATTGAATCAGAGAAATTTGCTAAATAAGTGCGTGATGTATGGAAGCAAGCACAATGTGTTCTGCTCCAGGCCATATTGCTCTGCATATGCTATAATATAGCGATGCTTTCTTTCAGGCTTTCATCAGGAGCGAAAGCTCCAGCTTGCAAGCAAGGGTCGTTACACTGAAGACAGCAAACTGCAGAAACTCAAGAATTCTAAAAATGAAAAAGCACCTGAATTCCAAGGGGCTAATGAATTTGAATGCCCCTTAGATTTGAATGGGTTTGCCCCTTAAAATTCGTGCTCCGGAGACTTAGAAATAACATATTTCCGAATCAAGGCATTCCTCGATGTTGCGAGTCCCCAAACCAGTTATTGCGAGGCAGGAAACCCAAGTTGACTATCAACTCAAACCTAATGCATGTAAACGTGTGATTATATACAGTGTACTCGATAAGTGATGACGCTCATTGCCTTTTCGCATGCGTTATTGCCCTTGCCCCTTGGGTCATGAGTGTCATCACCATTGTGTGTGTAATGTGTATGTACCATTTTAAATACATGACCTACTTTCAGTAATGCTGTTTTGCTGCAATAATGAGACTGCAGAGCGGCGACCTGCGATTTGTGGAGAAAACTGACGAATACAAGGGAGGTCTTTGTAAAACGTTACAAACCTGAGACTAGTAGATTGCTTACAAGTACAGGTTTGCTGCACGTAGACATTACTATGCTAACTAAGATTTGCATTGATTTGACTTAACAAGTACACGGCTCAGCCCTGTTGAGTGCAAACATGCGCAGGTCTTTACCTAGTAGCCGCATGATTATAACTAGGAAAACAGTCGTTCACACAACAATGACAAAGCAAACTTTGGTAGCTAGTCTAACGAACTACATGTGAGTGGGTTGTAAGAAAAACTACCATGACAAACAATAGGGTCGTTCGATGACATGGCAAAGGGTGCGGGGATTTGCGCTAAATAATTTTCCTTGTAAAAGTAACAAACGTTTGTTGAAATGAGTTTACAGTGTAAGTAAAGATGCAATGCCAAGTGATAGGTGTTTCTGTGCTGTTTTATATAAGCATAATATAATAGTTTACAGTTATAAAACAGTCACCTTTCGTCGAAATGCATGGAACGGTGATAGACTGTTCTTTATTGAGTTGAAATAGCCATTTGTTTGTTATGCCTAAAATAAATGGGTGAATTTAATTTCTTCGTTAGCTTTGTAGCTTGGAATAGTTCATTTAAAAGTATTTTGGGTGCCATTTGCTTCAATGCATTTGATATCGCACAAAAAATTCGTTACGCGCGGCGAGAGCCTATCGCTAAACACCTTAAAGCACGCATCATTTTGCAGTTCAGCATAGCCGGCAGTATGTCCAGCATCCAAATGCTTTAAAAAATTTGTACTAACGTGGTTTGAGCACATGCTGAAAGGAGTAAGCCCACTCATTTCCATATAATCCTTAACTCTATACGAATCGCTGACAATTTTGACCTTCAGCCTGTCCCCGGCACAGTATAACCGTGGACAGGTTGTGCAATACGCCCGGTTAGATTACGGAGGAGCGACAGCTGCCCGGGCTAGCAGCGTCAGGCTCGCTGGACCAACGAGATTATCTGACTGGCGGCATTGGTCTGTCGGCGGTCAGCCCGGCCAGGCCCATATACAGAGTCCGTCGGCAAGGTCGATATGACATGTCACATGTGTAATACTGCTTAACAGCACTGTGCTCAGGAGGCGACCGACGGTGATGATGGCTGAGCGCTGTAAAATGATTCATTACAGCTGTTTGGAATGACAATCGATCTATTGTTTTATTAGTGAGCTTCTCGATACGGCTTATGTTGGCAACTGATTTTTCATGAAATTTGGTTGGAACTAAATGAGCATTATGCCGACTGCCTGTTGTCATTTTATTTGACAGACTGTGTTCCTCCAAGGTGAATTAGGTATGGGTCACACATGAACGGTCAACAACGACAAGAAAACTGTCCCTTCCATAGCTTAGAGACATACAATAAAGACACCCTGTACACCCTCTATTCCTGAGGATACTTGCAAAATCCAACAAAGGGAAGCGATCAAAGGTGGGCGTCAAAGTTCAGCCGGCCCCTGTCTTACGGTAACAAATAGGTCTGGGAGGTAAGTTCTTTTAATGCCCCACGTCCCGTGGTGCCAGCTTAGGATTGGGCTAGACGAAGATCCCGTGCCGCTCCTGATATCCATCGTAATTCTTCGTAAAGGACCTCCCGTGGAGAACGGGAGGGTGCCGCTGCAAGCCAACGATTGGAGATATGGGTGCCTTGTCAACAGACAGTGCCGTGCCGCTGTCCGCAAGGGTGCCGCTGCAAGCCAACGATTGGAGATATGGGTGCCTTGTCAACAGACAGTGCCGTGCCGCTGTCCGCAAAGATTCTCGCGAGTATTACCAGCGCGAGATAGACAAAGGTAGTCGCGCTAGCCTGTGGCGCATCTTGACGCCTGTCATTGGAAGGAAGAAAACTCCGACCGAACCACCCAACATGACGCCTGATGCCCTAAACAGATATTATGTCACAGTAGGACCAACCACAGCTGCCAGCGTTCCTGCTGCACCTGAACCAATACATACGCGGCTGCCACGTGTGACGACCGCCTCGTTTAGGGTTCGACCAGTCGATCTCGACACCTTGATTGTAACTCTGCTCTCCATGAAACCGTCTGCCACAACCACAGATGATGGAATTAGCATTGTCATGCTGCAGAAATATTTCACGGGTTTCAGCGAAGTCCTACTAGATGTTATCAATTCATGCCTGCACACCGCCCAGTTTCCTACGTCATGGAAACACGCCCATGTTATCCCGATTCCTAAAGTGAAAGCCCCCAAGACTCCTGACACCCGCCCGATCTCTATCCTGCCCGCTATATCGAAATTGGTCGAAAAACTCGTACAAAGGCAACTGGTTGAGTACCTAGAGATCCATCACTTATTGTCAGAGCAACAACACGGTTACCGTAGACACCATTCGACAGAGACAGCTCTCAGTGTCATTACAGACAGGGTATTAAGGGCCATGGATCACGGAGAAGTATCGGTTCTCACCCTCCTAGATCAGTCGAAATGCTTCGACATTGTGCCTCACCAGATTCTTTTGGACAAAATGAACACATACGGGATTGATACAGAATGGTTTCAGAACTACCTAGAGGGGCACACGCAGCAGGTTGTGATACGTCGCACTGACGGCGCAGTTCTCACATCGGCGTCCAAACCAAACAGACTTGGGGTCTATCAGGGAGGTTCACTAAGCTGTTTGCTCTACACGCTTTTCTCAAACGACCTGGGCCTGCATGTACCGGATGATGTTACCATTGTACAATACGCCGATGACGTGCAGATTTTGACGAGTGGCAAGAAGCAGGACATGGACGTGTTAAAGGCTCGCATGGAACAATCTCTTGGAACACTATACCACTGGTTTTGTCAACATAGGATGAAACTTAACGAGGCGAAAACACAAATGATAGTGATGGGAACTCCTGCAATGCTAAGAGGAATGGAATCTTTCGTGTTGGAATTCAACGGAGCTCAGATCCAGGCGACAAGTGTTGTAAAAAAATTGGGTGTCACATTTGATTCGCATTTAAAATTCACTGAACACATTGGCTCGGTGGCAAAAAGATGCACGGGCATGTTGATGGCACTGAATCACGCGAAACACGCAATACCTAAGAGCGTACTGCCTTGTCTAGTGCAGGCTCTCGTCATTTCTGTCGTGCGCTACTGTATGTCCGTGTATGGTACGTGTAACGGCACGCAGCTCCACCGGATTCAGAAGCTTCTAAACTTCTGTGCTCGTGTGGTCAGCGGAAGGACAAGGCGAGAACATGTCTCGGATGTATTTCAACGCTTAGGGTGGATGGATGCCAAGCAGCTTGTCATGTACCACACTGCCTGTACTGTTCAGTCGACGATTACCACTGGACAACCAGAGGCTCTGCTCAGCACCATCGGGCGTCCATCAAACATGCACCATGACCATGCCACCAGAAATGCTGGTCGAATAACTTTACCACGCATCCGTACAGAAACCGGTAAACGTCGCCTGTGTTACCGCGGTGTGACTATCATCAATGAACTGGGGCTCGATCCCGGT